CTAGACATGAGAAAATATGAAATTTTGGAGGAAAAGGAGTTGCCACCACTAAAATGCGTTAAAAAAAACTAAGTATATGTTAGCTCTAGCGACGTTAATCCCTTTTTTAATTAAACTCTAATATTAACTAATGACTAATATTACGGCAAGCGCATACCTTCGCAACTTGGAGTCGATCTTACGTAATAATGCACGCAAGTTGTTGATGGGAGCAGCAAGCTTTATTATAAGTGATTGAATCTTGTTGGCAATCATCTGGAAGCAGATTGTGCTAATGAACAAGCTCATCAACTTTGAATGGGCGTTCTAAATTCTTTTAGTTGTGAAATATTGATTTGAGTGTAGAAGTCAAGTGTTTTTCAAGATTTTCCTATAACATTCAAAAAAGGATTTAGTCAAGAGGCAGTTCGCTAATGGTTTATTTGCTCACATTGTAAGGACTCTTTCATTGTGCTGAATACATATGAGTCATTTTGTTAAGAACTGTCAAAAAATCAAAAATTGCGCATCCATTTTTGATCACAGTGGCGCATTCAGTATGTTTTTAGATTGCCTGTTTTCTTTTTTTAATCAGAATGGAACGGCTAAGAAAAAGCGCCAGACATGCAGACATAGGTTTGAGGCAGAGCAAGGTTTGAAACACTTTTTTCGCATAACGTAGAAGAACTCAAAAACATGTCCTTGCTTAAGCACTTATAGTTGTTTTTGTTCATGGATACGAGTTCACTTGAAGAGCACAACTTTCCATATATTTCGCAGTTCCAGAACAATTAGGTGTGAGTATGCGGGAAGAAACAAGACTTTTTGGTTCGCTGACAGAGAGAGAGGAGGAGGAAATGGGAGGTCTGACTGGTGCAGTCAAGAGTTCAATAGGAAATCTAGATCACAGGCTTAGAAACTAAAAAAGCAAAGTTTTCAAAGCAAACAACGTTTACCAATAAATATGATCATCTAAACTCTATAGTTACAGAAAAAAAGCATGACTTTTTAAGTATATACTTCTTTCACGTCTCCTGCTCTTCCTTTGACATCATTCAATGATGATGTGACATCCGCTTGAACGCAGGCAATACCTTCGGCCACCCTATGGATGTTTGTCAGTGCGTTCATGGCAGGGCCCTCAAATTTTACTATATTTTTTTCAAAAACTGAAGCTTATGCTTACCTCAAACGACATGGTTATCATAAGAAGCAGTAATAGAGTGCGCATTTTTGTACTGATCATTCTATACATAGCCAGCATGAAATAACTCATTAGCTGAAAATGTTCTATTTACTGCTAATGAGTTATATGATGTGTGCTTCAAGTTTTAAAAATTAGTAAGCTGCTTACCGCCGGAAAAATAAACATAAAAACAAGAAAGGTATGAATAACAATAGAAGTAGCAATAGCGACGCTAAATTCTCATCAATAGGGGATTTGTGCAAAATACTACCTGAGACACTTACTTTTTTGGTCGGCTTGCGTACTTATACGACATGACAAAATACATAATAATCCCA